GATCCAGCCTGTCCAGGTCCCTCTGCAGAGCCTTCCTACCCTCGAGCAGATCAACACTGCCGCCCTTGAGCGCCCTCAAGGATTCCCAAGAGAGTTGATAGACATGTCTGGATGTTTCTTTAAATGCTATTAGACTAGAATTGTGATTATTACACGTACTCAATGAAATGAAATACCTAAGCGTGTAACTTTCCTGAAACATAGAACTGTAATACAGCTGCATTTAAAAACGTATTGCCAAATACTTTAATGCTATTAATTCTCTGGGAAAATTAAGCATGGCTGTCTACCAGAACATAAACAACCATATGCACTTCTGTAAGTTCTGATTAAATTGTTTTACTTTGAAAAATCTTTCCAAACAATAAGCAACAACTGTTTTTCACCTTCATTGATATTTTAATGAGAAATTCTCATAGTCATTTTTCTATGTATTCAGAATGTATTACAACTACTGTTCATTCTGAAGAAAAAAAACCAAAACATTAAGATCATCATTAAAACAGTTCCATCCATTATTCTGGCTGTCACAGTGATTTCAGTATCTTCATGATACAAACTCTTACAATTTGTAACAAGTGTAATTTTCAAATATGGGCAAAATCATTGCATGAGAAATGTCAACTGATTTTAAATTAACAAAATATGTTGTTAGGGGTTTTTTTTGTCGTTTTGCAGGTTTTTTTGGTTTGGTTTTTTTTTTGTTAATGTTATTGGGGTGAATAAATCTCAACAATCAGCTACTGAACTCCTCCCCTTCCTCCTATATGATTAGAAGCAGTTATTTCTACATTATATTTTTCCTTTCTAGCCTTTGCAAAAATCAAGAATGCTGCAGATATTAGTGTTTCAGGTCATTAATCCCACGACTACAATTAATTTCTAAAAATAATAAAAAAACCTCTTGCTTCTGTGTCATGATCACACTTAGAGTTTCTTTGGTTATGAAATTTTACTATGCATTGGCGAACGATGCTTTAGCTATATTGTGTAGCAATAAAATAGTTATCCAAAACAAGAAATGTTTACAGGGACTCATCATACGGTCCTTCCTAAAATAAAAACCTCTACTGGAAATTGCTGTAATACTGCTTGCTGCAATTTTGACAGAGCTCATGAACACGGTCAAGTCTGTTTGGTATTTAAGTGCATTCAGCAAGAAACCCAGGACGTTACATGACTATAGAAATTGTATGACTAGATTATTCATCAGATGACACTCTCCCTCTCAAGACTGCACAGACAACATCTCCTCAAACACTACTGTGGTAACCATGCACAATAGCATCTTTTGGAAGAGATGTTTTAAACGAAGACTGAAGAATAAAACTGTGATTCTTTGTGTATCCCATTTATCCCTGCTTATCGCAGAAGGATAACCTTAAAAGGTATGTTTTACATTGCAGAGGGATAACTTAAAAATGTTTTACATCTAGACATCGAATGAGCCAAGAACCACGTTTCTCATTTGCTACCTTCGGCACACGTTCTATCTTAACACAGAACTGTGCAAAAAGCTTCACGAATCTGTTCAAAAAGGAGGAAGAAAGAAACTGCGTTAAGAGATGATGAACTGAACAGTAGCAGCTGAAGCATATGCCGTACTCTGCTTCACTAACAGCACTATATAACTGGTAAAATTCAGCAGAAGGGAACTAATATCTAATACGGCACTGACTGGGCCAAGAGCCGTGCTAGTCAGAGTTGCTGACTTGTGGCTTAATGCAGGGTTAGTGTTCGGTGCTGAAAACGTTGCAAAGTAAAACGAGGAAACACCTATCACGTGCCAAGGTTCGCAAGGAAATCTTTATTTCCTCTGCTATGCCCAGAGCACACTACCTTTTTGTCACACTTAAAGTCTAACTTGTAAATGTACAGGGGGCTTGACGTGTATTTGTCTCCAGTAAATAGTGGTTTAATACTTAAGCTCAAATGTCTTCACATGTAGCTTCTACCTGCGGTTCTACAGGAATGCAGCTATCTTTAGCCATACTTCTCATCACATAACTTCAGGATCATGACATTTCTAAGGAATATTTACTTCACAGAAACCGTCACTGCAATGAGAAGTTCTATCAGCTTTGTCGTTTTCAAAATATGAGTGAACACGATTACCGCAATTACACCAATTTTCAACAGAAGCCACTTCCCCGTACAGCCGTTGACAAACTGAGCAATGGATTTGCTCACCCTGTAAGCAGGCGTTACATCAACGAACCTCTCAAGTTATAGGGGATGTACGTAAATCATGTATTAAGCATAGAATACACATTAAGTCACAATATTACGAGATCAGAATAGCACTTAAAAAGACGGGAAATGCAAAGTCAGGTTAGCTGCTATATGTAGACTAACATGGGGTTTTTTTTGTCCTGCAGCAAACACAATGTGTGGTTACTGCCAGTTGATAAAATAGTTGTGTTAGTGATGATGTAAAAGCAATGCATCTGCAAACTTTACTTCATACACAGTTATTTCACCGTGCTTCGACACTGTCAAAGGCTTCAAGGCAATATCCATGCTAGAAATAATCTGATATTATACACGAGACCCAGCTCCATATATGAACCATATAAACTCTCAGGATTTTAACCCTAGAGGACACAAATATCCCCTACGAATTTTTCAATAGTTTTAGGAAGAATCAGAAGTATCACATAATCAGTGATAATTCATTTTGATATAAGACTATCCATCAGCATTCAAAATTCTTATCATAAGTCTAAATTCTTTATAGAAAAAGCAGTTTATTAGGATTTCATAGATGTGGTTTGAATTTAAACTGTACAGGCACTGTATGAAAACATTCTGAAGGAAGGATGCTCCAGATGCAAACACCTTTATTTAGGCATCTACACATAAGCCAGGTGTCAAAGCTTCCACTAAAGAGAATGCATTATAAAGGGTATTTCAGCTGGCCAAATACAAGGGAATATTTTAGGATGAGCCAAAACGATTCTCTAGGCTTTACTGACTGCAATGGGAGACAGACCCCTCTGCACAGGCAGACAAACGTTTAGGTGTTTGAATCTGGAGCTGAATTCCACCTATGGTTTCTTACAGTGATAGAACTGAAGATAAACAACATACTGCATCATAAACAGTCAAAGACTGAAACAAGATGAAAAAGTAGAATTAAATGAACCATTTTTATTGAATTATTTTGTTTTGTAATGGTTTCCCCCCACAGCGTAAGAGACAGGAGAGACCTTGGTTACTCCAAGGGTACAGCTCTACAAGTAAACTCGAGCGTGGCTGGGACTGTTCCCAGACGCTATAATGCAACCGTCTGCGCTAGTGAATTGTTAGAACAGTCTGCGGCGTGAACCTGGCCTGTTCCAACTAGCGCTTTTCCCGAAGAGCTCCCAGGCACAGCCCAGCAGCCAGAAGAGTCCAGGACCTGTGCCCAGCAGGGGAATTTGTATGCGGTCACCTTGTTTTGGAGGCTAAGACGAACAGACACGGGCTGTTCCACACTTGTTGGCTTCAGCAGTCAGGAATGTTCCCAAGCACATTTGATTTACTAACAACGATGTGGCCTAAGCACCTTCTCTATGGCTGTTAGGTAAGAATAAAGGTATTAACTGTGACTGAAGGGCTTCTAACAGCTATTTTCACAGATACAGAGTTTCCCTGGAAATGAAATTTAGTAGGTTGTTTACAAGTTCCTATGGCTATGTCTAAGGTAGAAATCTTTTTGCATCCTTTTTTTCCTCCACTTTGGCACAGCTTGAATAACTGAACCCTGAACAGGCCAAAGAAATACAAAACAGAACAATCCTTCCAAATTACAAGTAAAGCATCTAATAAAGTATATAACTCCACTGACTGCTTTTTCTTATCTTCTTAGGTCCAAAACAGTTACACTCTCTCTTTTTATATATATACTTTTTTTTTTTTTTTAAATTGAGACCCTTCTAGAAGATGAACCGTTTGCGAATCATAGTTTCCCAGGACGCATGAGGAAATGACATATGGTAGAATCTGATATAATACCACAGCATCATAAGGAACCATCCAAAAAAAAGTGCTTATTCTTCGAGGTAGTGACAGTCTGATGATTTGTTCCAGCTACTTTGTGAGATGCAACATGCTAAAGTAATTGTTTAAGATTATTATTCATAATTTACAGCTTGATTAAATAATTCTCTAAAGCTTAAAAATCATATCCAGTTCCTATTGAGTTCATTGACAACATGCCCTTTGAACTGTAAGGCAGCAGAAATAAGGGCTGAGAACAGTGTGCTATATCTCAAAAAACTTGCTGAAAAGCGCAACTCAGTCTCGGCACCAGTATGAACAAGAAATGTATTTGAACAGTTATTTAGACTTGTCCTGCCAACTGTGGATCTTAGCATGTATGTGAAACTAACAGTGCTTTCCTAATTCAAAATGCATTTGGTTCAAAGAGGAAATAAATGTCAACAAAAGAAGTTGTGGGGTATAAAGTGAAGCACTGAACGCGGCGTGGTAAAACACAAAGGAACTGACAATCAGCTAAATGTCTGGAAGCATCCAAAAGAAACAGCTGATTTGGATCAAAATAATGTCTAGAAACAACACTTCCTATGTTCTCAAACGCTAACAGATTTAGTTTTAATGTCCGCTTTGACAGCTGTCTTTTAACATCTTGTAAAATCTCAGTAATGATTCAAAGTTGTTAAAACCTAACTGAAGTGCCCTCCGTTCCACCCCCATCTTCATAGCAGAATTTTTAAAGCATTTCTACTTTAACAAAACAACCCTTAGACCCTACTCACTAGTTAGAAGCTCTGCTATATGGTCTTTATGAAGCACGGAGACTGAAGTGAAATCAGAAGTTTGTGTTAAATTCACTATCCCTTTACAGATGAAGTCTATACTTGTTTGTTACAAATTAAGTAAGTAGAGTAAAATCTGTTAATAAATAAAATTACTGTAAGGGAAAGAATTCTCTCTGGTACTTTCTTGCAAAAAGAAATCTCTGTACGCTTACTCTATCTCCACTTCAGTACGGTTCTCATTCTGTCACATGCACAGAGAGAATGCCAATGTTCTTGGCACATTTCAACTGTATTTAAAATTCTATTTATCTTCTCATTTGCTGCTTTTATTCTGTAGTAGAACAAATGTTAGGAGGTTTGTGATTCCAAACCATCCTGTTACTGTTTTTCACTGAGAAACTATAAAGCCTTCTATATTCCTTTACATCTTTCAACTGCTGTAAAACAGTCCAGCATTACGAATACTGAAGCAGAGACAAAACAGAAGAGAAACGTTTTTGGGAGTGACCTTTAATGTTAGGTGCAACATAGGAGATAAAAATCAAGCCATGCAAGCATTTATCACTTCAGACAGGAGTCGAAGGCATCCCAGTCACAGATGAGCAGAGCCCAGCTGGAACTCAGGACTGCCCTCCAGCACGGCTGTCAAATACGCAGGCTGAGCTCCCCTTCATGAACACCAAGAACAGTATAAAACTGAACTCCATGGTATTGATTGTGATCAAAGACAGTCTTTTGTTTGTTTTAAACATTTTAAACGTTAAACAGTATATGAGAATTGCCCACTCAGGGCAGTCTTGGTGCGACAGCCTGACATTCTGGTCAGATAGCGGCACACTTTGTCCATCATGAAGTGTCGCTGACAGAGGCAGCCACAAGTTACGGTGAAGACTGAGTCTCAGACACAGAGTTTTACTTTTTTTTCGTTTAGAAAGAATGGCAGTATAGGATACTTTGATTCAAGAATATGCAAACAGTCAACTTCAGCAAATGCTTACACACTGTTTTGTTCCCTGTCTTTTTAAAAGGAAACCCTGACCTTCAAGAATTCCTTTTGCCAAACTATTTTATACTGAGACAAAAATGAGTAATTACTCAAAACCATAAAAAGCCTACAAATGGCTATTTGGAAAGTGTTCAGACAACATTCAAAGCTGTACATTGTTGCTGCTTATCTTTCACACATATCAGCAAAGCTGATGTAACTGAAAAACCATGAAGTTGTACCTAGTGTATGTCACAGTTTAATTGGCATCAAGAATACATTTAGCATATGGACATGTGTTTTTCGACAATGTTTCTCTAAATATATAAGTATGCCAATCTTAAAAGTAACATTTACAATAAACCAATCTCTTACCACCGGGAAGACTGGGAAAGATAGCCTCCACAGAGATAGGAGCTATAGCAAACATGGAAATGCTGCGAAACACAGAAATTCTGTGAAATCTACTTCGAGACCCAACTGCCAAATCTGACCATCTTCAAACATCTTCTTTTCTCATAAGGAACATGACTTCTAGTTGCATAATTAGTGTTTTAAAGGAAGCTGGTTCTGTTCTAGATTTTGCTATTTTAGAAAAACCTGACTGCCCTTAAGTTCATCTATGCACGAATGTCAAATCGTTCTTCCATCCTAGCAAAACTTCCCAGATACGATGGCAGTTAGGTGGTTGGGTGATATATGCCAAGGAGGAACTGAAAACAAATTCAAACTCATGACAGAATGCTTTTCCAGTTCCTTCAAGATCTTGGCCATTTCTTGTACTACTGTTTCATACAAATGTCACAAAAATATTAATATAGAGTGAAACTGTTTGGAAGTAGGACACACAAGACATCTTCCGTAAATCATCATAAAAGGCCACAGTAAGCTAAGATGCACTGAGCAGGATTTAAAGCCAGAAAAGGATCACTTTAAAATCTCATAAAGTTATGTAGTGAATTCTAGCTTCATGTCCTTCCAACAAAAACAAATCTTCTGTAAACATTAAAAAGTATAACAAATTGAGGTTTACGTTTCACACACATAGTATTTGGATTTAACTACTTGGTTTATTAGTATTTGGATATTGTTCATTGCACATCTGAGCTCTCTTTATATGAAAGAGCAAATTAAGTTTTACACCTACCTGTAAGACACAAATACGCAGCTAAATACCGTTTTTCAAGGCCATCTTTATAGGTCTGAATCGCACCATAGATTGGAGGTAGAATGAAAATCAGGTTACTCACTGTGTTCCCTGTAGGACAGAAATCAAAAGCAGAGAGATTTAGAACTGGGTACCGTGCACTTCAAGTAAATAAAGCTGCATTCTCTCATTAAAGACAGGTTCAACAGTTTTCATCCAGAAAGCCACACCTTTTTGGAAGTCGCACATAATACAAAGTTAAATTTTGGTACAACACAGTTAACTACTTGAAGGCTGAGAACATTTTAACTCTTTTGTCCTTTTTCATGTGTATGGATAGTAATAAAATACTAATTTAACTACAAAGTTTGACTTAAATGGTGCTTACTTTCTTGGCAGGAGGCAGAAAAATAGGTTTACCTTGATTGCACAGCTCATGAATTAAAACTCCATTCCTTGGGGAGATATAAGCCCCAAATAGTTCAAGCCTGGTATTTTAAAAGAACTGTTTGTTTGTTTTTCAATTTTCTCAAACCTGTTCTTGGAACCCTCTCCTCCACACTCCCTTCAGATACTTTAAGGTCACCGAGTGACTCGTTCCCAAATGAAACCAGTTCAATCTTTACTATTAGTCTGCTAGTCACTGCGCACACGCAGAACAAGCCGGACGGGATGCTACAGATCACAACGTAAGACCAAAGACCGTAAGAGGGTACGATAAGGAATAGCAAAAAGTCAGAAGCCGCTACTCATCAGCGTGACAGGCAACTGCCAAAGCTTATCAAGAGCCTGAACATCGGCAAGACACCACTGCTTGGGATGCAATGCAAAGAAACGACACGTGTTGCAGAGAGCAGGGAAAGCAAGAACAAGCCAAGAGCCCAGCTCTCACACCAGGGGGCATGACGACCCTTCCAGCACTGGGGAAGATGAAGGAATCTTTCTTTTTGTTTTCTTTAAGACTACTCTCCCAGTCTGATTTAGATGGTTTTCTTCCCCACACTGTCCTGGCCTATGCAAAAGTACAATGAAATATTGAGAAGTTTAAGTGAAGCATAAGGAAATGGTACGTTCCTCAGCAGAAGGGATGCAGATTCAGCTTTTTAGCCTAACCACAAACCATAAATTGGAGAATAAAGGTTATGTAATGGGAATAAAATGACATGAAATTTGGGAAAAAGAGCAAATCTATTAAAAAAGGCAGAATGTTGCTTACATAAATTAAACTGCACATTTTCACATACCATCAGCTAAACATATACAAAATTAAAACTAATTAATTTCCAAATATCTCAATGGAAAGTACAATGCATAAGGCTATGGAGAGGCCAAAAAAACCTATGTCTGGCTTTTTTATTCAGCAGAAAAGCTCAGAAGAGTTTCACTTCCTAAAACAGAGAAAAAGAGTGAGCAGGCCACGTCCGAATCACTCCCCTAATTCAAGCACCTATTTTTCAGGAGTCCTACTTCCCAAGATCCATCCCAAAGAAAAGTGAAAACTATCGAACTATGATCATACAACCCCAAAGTATTACAGCACTTCTGGGAACAAAGATCCATTCTTTACAGGTTTACAGAAAATTCAAACCCAAACAGAAGAATGGTTATTTCAGAACACATGAAGCAGAAGTGTACCCAGTTAACTTTAACAAGTTAGCTCTTCTAAATTCCCACAAAGTAGATTCAAATCTCAGTTTGAGACAGTCTTCTCAACCAGATAAAACACACATCTGATTTTTATCAGATCTTCTTTAAATCACTTCCTTAGTGATTTAACATCATCTCCTGCACAACCATGAATTTCACCAAGTTATAACAAGCAAAACAAAGATGTGCCAGAGATCTTGCTCTTCTAGTCAGCTCTGTAGTAAGTTCCTCCATGTAAAAGAAGCCCAGCTGAAGTCAAAACAGCTCTGCAAAGACATACAAGTTTATACCAATATAAAAGGCCTTTTTCATGCTTAAATTCTTTGGGGAATCATCAACCTTTTACCACATTCCCACAGTGTTGCAATGGGCAGTGATTCACTTTCAGTGGAGACCTGGTTTGGAAGAAATCCATTGAAACTCAGTGTTGTGTGGTACGCTGCCCATTACCACGTCCTCCCACAAATTGTGCAAAGATGTCATCCAGCCTCAAAAAGTAGAGTAAAGGCTATATAGTCCGGATAGAGAATCTTCTGCTTCCTAAAGGAGTTCTCAACTATGCCCATTTTCAAGAGTAGTTATTAGGCATTATATAAATATCACTGTTCAAGGTCACTTCGTTACGAAACTGTCAAAAACCTGGCAAAAATTCAAATATGAAAATGCCGAACAAAAGAAATACCATGATGTTTATCCGCACCTGGGAAGGCACGTGACTTCAGAAGAGATTTGCAGGAGGACAACAAACTTCAGATGGATGTAAGAATGCAGAAAAGAGATTCTTCTGCAGGGAAGCGAAGGTTTCAACACTTCCTGTAAAGCTATAATTGTGTTAAATTATTGAAAATTTACGAGGACTTAATCTAGGACCATCTTGCTAAGAGAGGAAATACCACGGACCTAATCTAGCTGTAAATTCCTGCCACTCCTTCTCTGCACTTTTTGGCCCACATTATTCAGAACATTTATAGCGCGGATTAGGCAAGCCTATTTGCAAAACATACTTATTGAAAGTTGTGCAAATTTTTTAAAAAGGGAAATGGGGGCGGGGGAACAACGAAGTCCTCTGGCATGCTGCTAGCAAAATTACTTCTTTCAAGAACAAAAACTACAAGGCCTCTTTCAAACCCAAGGTCTGTAGGAGTGCGTATTTCATAGAAGTCTAGCTAGTCTTTACAGGATTATCCTCACATAGAATAACTTATAAATTCATTAAAAGGGATTTTTACTAATTCCATCAGAAAACGGCAGTGGGATATGCACAGAGATTAGCAAACAATACCAAGAAAGAAGAAAAAGGTGACACAACTACAGACCCATAACGCTAAAGTTAATTAACAAACAAAGAAGTGAAACAAGTTTTGAAGCAAATAGATATGGAAGTTGAAAATGGGAAAAAAGTTGAGCTGTCAAAAAAACTAATCTTTTTTTTAACAGATTTTCTTTTTAAAAAAAAAGGAAAAAAAATAATGCAGCAGACCTCCTTGGGAAAACCAGAGAGTGGAGAATTTGCAGGAGCAGGAAGTGATCTTATTTTTCTTTAGAAAAATTTTTCTTTTCTTTTAGACCAAAGACTGCTTCTCAGCATTTCACCTTCAGCATGTCTGTCAACAGAAGAGAGGATGAGATCAAGAGAGGAAGAAATGAATGAACTCGCAGACTGAAATGACAGGAACGGGATTAAATATGATGGCCAAGAACATGCCTTTCAATGCGAATATGAATCCTTATACCAAATGTAGGATTAATCTACTTGAAGAGGCAGAAAAGTGAATTAAGATTGCACAGTGACTGACCATAAGCCATCACTGTAGGCACCAAACCCCCTAAATTTATTTCCAGTAGATGCAGGGAAAATAGTAATGTCTCCATGCAAGCCAATAGTAGAATACACTGTTCTCCAGTTACCAATAAAAGAAAAGAGAAAGCACATCAGGTGCAGAGAAACATCACTCAGATGGGAGTGATGAATGGGAGCTTACGACATCAGAAGGGACAAAAATTGCTCAGCTTACCTAGCCTAACAAAACAACGGCTGGATGGAATAAAACCGCGCTCTGTAAATATACCATGGGTAAATGCCAAGGACAAAAGGGAGCTATTTGAACTGAAAGATAATACTGACAAAAGAATAAATAGATGTAAACTAACCCTAAATAAGCGTGGGCTGGAATTAAGAGGAAAGCTTCTCACTGATGAGGAAATATTTACAACTGCTTCCCAAGAGAAATGGGCAGCATGATGAACCTACCTGCTTTCAGGGTGAAGGTCAGTAAGCTCAAAAGCCAGATTACATGATGTGGTGGCCTATCACAGTAGTAAAACAGATGGTGTCCACAAAGATTATACATGGTACTAGGTAAAGTGCTAAATTAATGTCTAATCATGATAAATGCAGAGTGTGTGACTTGACACCCACAAGTCTACGGGGCCAGATGGGATCCACCCAAGGGTATTGAGGCAGCCAGTGGAAGTGCTCACCAACCCACTTTCCATCATTTATCAGCAGTCCTGGTTAATGGGGGAGGTCCTGGATGACTGGAGGTTAGCAAAGGTGATGCCCATCCACAAGAAGGGCCGGAAGGAGGATCCAGGGAACTACAGGCCTGTCAGCCTGACCTCGGTGCCGGGGAAGGTTATGGAGCAGATCATCTTGAGTGCCATCACATGGCAAGTAAATGACAACCCAGTGATCAGGCCCAGTCAGCACGGGTTTATGAAAGGAAGGTCCTGCTTGACTAACCTGATCATCTTCTATGTAAAGGTAACCTGCTTAGTGGATGATGTCTACCTAGGCTTTAGTAAAGCCTTTGACACTGTCTCCCACAGCATTCTCCTGGAGAAACTGACTCCTCATGGCTTGGACGGGCATACTCTTCACTGGGTCAAAAACTGGCTGGACGGCCGGGCCCAGAGAGTTGTGGTGAATGGAGTTCAATCCAGTTGGCGGCCGGTCACGAGCGGTGTTCCCCAGGGCTCAGTTTTGGGGCCGGTCTTGTTCAATACCTTTATCAATGATCTG